GAGACTTTGTCTCTTCCCCACCCACCTTCATCTTTTTTGCCTCCTTTAAGTTGCTGATATAGAGATATCGCCAACCTCAACTACTACCATTTTCGGCGGCTTCACCGTCGAATTAAACGAAAACTCTAAGATGAAAGGAAGAAATAAAGGATATGATTAACCCTTAAGGGTAGGTGTTTATCGATTGCTTGTGAGCTTTCCTTCCCCTACTAGAATCTCCATTGAAGTTGGTCTTACCTTCTTCCTGAATAGTTGGATGTTTGTGAGTTTCACTTCCGTCAAATAACGTCATGAAGAGTAGTTTTTGGACAGTTGTACAGAAGTACTACATTGTGTTTTTTATTATATAAGCACAAATATCAAGACCAAATATTTACATAATTGTCATTTATTTAATAAACATGTCTTGTTTATCAAAATGATAAACTTGTATTTCCTCATATAATATAGCAAAAGTAGTACAAATTTTTGCCATTCCAATTTAACCAAGCAAAAGTCCAACTAAAAGAAGCGATGGCAGCTCTCTTCGCTTCATAGATTTCCTTCACGCATTCAGAGAATGGGCATCAGTTTCAATTGTCACTTTCTTGTATTTATCATTGATAGCCATTACCATTCCTCCTTTAATTGCTAAGAGCTCAGCTTCCGCAGGGTTTCTCACTTTAATTTTCCAAGAGCATCCTCCTAGCCAGCTGCCATCACTTGCTCGCACAACAGCTCCTGCTCCTGCCCAGGGGCGGAGCTAGTGAGGGACACGTGGGGACACTTGTCCCCCCAACTTTAAAAAAAATATTAAACCATTAATCCTCCACTTTAAAAAAAATAGTGACCCGAACCCGATATAACCCGACCTGAAACCAACCCAGACCCGAGTTAACCCGAGTGTTTGAGACCTGAACCCGAACATGAACCGACCAGGAGATGACACGACTTGTATATAAACCGTAAATTATTGACCTGAACCGAATCCGACCTGAACCGATTTTGACCTAAACCTGTTTTAATCCGTCAAAACACGAATTTAACTCTATTACTAACCCGACCAGTTACTAACCCGACCTAAATTCAACCTGTTCTCTTACTAACTCGACCCGAAATCAACTCGACTTGTTATTGATCCGATCCAAATTCAACCCGACTTGTTCCTGACCCATTTCTAAACCTATTTGAAGTTATTAACTCAAATATAAACTAATCTGAAATAGATCAGAATAAGATTTGAACTTATCTTCTAAAAATCTTAACTAAACATATCTTATCGGAATTAGAATGAACTTATTACTCCCTCCGTGTTTTAATAAGGTGGATTGCTAAACCACGTCCGGTATTTACCGGGCAATGCCCGTATTTTAACATGACTTTACAAATATGCCCCCATATAAAATGTACCCTATTTCACTTTCACTTTCTTTAACCACTATCTAACTTGTTACTCCACCAACCACCACACAACCATCACCTACGAACAACCACCACGTCATATTTTTTTTTTTTAAAAAAAAAATTGCTTTACTCTTCACCAATTAGCGCAAACGGTGAATGAACGAGTTTAAGGAAGCAACGACGCCACTGGAAAGGTCGTCGGAGTATACGGAGTCAATGAATGCTCTGAATTTTTGTTCGATTTTTTTTTTAATTTTATTTTGTAATCATAGAAGGAACGCCTTACATTTTAAAATCACATCCTTGGAACATTATAAAATTTTAGGCGTTCAAGGGGGAAAAATGCCTGAAATTTTAGAATGTTATGGGGGAAACGCCTGAAATTTTAGAATGTTATGGGGGGAAATGCCTGAAATTTTAGAATGTTTTGGGGGAGATTCTAAAATTTCAGGTGGTTCTTCCATGAACATTCTAAAATTTCAAGCGTTCGTCTGGAACGACTGAAATTAAAAATTAAAAAAAATGTAAAAAAGTACCTGATCGTCAACCCCCTTATCTTTTCGATTTCTTGACATTGTCCCTTATTGCCGGTCGCAACCCTTGGTGGCGACGGAATTGTGGTGGCTTTGCTTGGTGGTGACGGAATTGTGGTGGTTTTCTTGGTGGTGGTGGTTTGATTGGTGGTGGTTGTGGATGAAATTTTTTAGGGGAAGAGAGAAAGAAGTAAAAGTGAAAGTAAGAGAGAGAAGATTGAAGAGTTATTTAAGAATGGGTTACTTAAGGGAGTTCATATAAAAATACGGGCGTTACGCGGTAAATACCGGACGTGGTTTAGTACCCCCCGCTAAGGGAAATATACGAATTATTAATCAAATGAGGGATGGCTCCTTTCAAGAAGCAATTGGAGATAAGGCTAGTAATTGAATTACCAACAATATCCCAATATTTATGGAAGAAAATAGGCTGAATTCCATCAGGACCTGGGCATTTCATAGGAGCCATCGATTTTAGAGCATTTCTTATTTCAAGTTCACTAACTTTCCTAGACAAAAAACTAAAATCCTCATTAGACACAATAGCATTAGGAGTGAAATTAACTGTCCTAGGTTGGGAAGATTGAATGGTGGAAACATGGCAGAAAAATGCTTAACACACATAGCTTTAAGGATACCCTGATCACTCACCCAATTCCTATCCTCATTTTTTAGGCTTAAAATTTTTCCTCGGCTATTTTTAACTTTGGCAAGTATATGAAAATACTTAGTGTTCCAGTCACCAAACTTGCGCCAATTAACACCCGACTTCTGAGCCCAAATTTGTCATTGAAATTTTAAGACTTCATTTAACTGATGGATAAGCTCCCTTTCAAGATTAACAAGAAAAGAATTATATCCATCACATAACATGCACTTTCTGAATTCCATGGATACGAGCAATCAATCTATTTTTATTAAGGAGAGATTTATTAAAAACACATTTATCCCAGACTTTTTAGCCTCATTAATAAACACAGATTTAGACCTATCAAAATTATTATCCCCCTTACCCCACGAAGAAGCAAAAAAATCATTAAACTCAGGATGTTCTAACCAAGAATCTCTACATCTAAAAGGATATTTTCGACCAGAAATTAAAGCACAAGTAGAAACCATAATCGGACAATGATCTGAATATGTTTTAGGTAGATGATATACCTAAATGTTTGGATGCTCTTTCATCCATTCAGCATTAGCTAAAGCTCTGTCTAGCCTTTCTCGAATGAAACGTCACGTCCATTATCCCAAGTAAATCTTGGTCCATTAAAACCAAGGTCAATCAGGCTGATTCCGCCCCCTTCGAAAAAATCCTCCCTTAGGTTTTTGTGATAGGTCTGCCTCCCACCTTTTCATTTTGGGCAATAACCTCATTCATGTCCCCCATAACCAACAGCCATCTTATGGAATGTAAGAGGTGCTGCTAGTAAGGATTTTATCCCTCATGCAAAAGAAGTTTTGCGTGCTCAGAAGCCTGAAATTTTGATACTACTTGAAACCATGACAAATGAAAATATGGCTAATAAAGTTTTCAAAACTCTGGGTTTTGATGACTGTCGAATCATTGCAGCTAATGGCATAAGGGGTGGTATTTGGTTGATGTGGAGAAGTCATGCGAATTTGGTTGAGTATGCTATAGACTCACCGAATGTTTTGCATTCCCTCTTCAAACTTTCTCCGATGGAACCAGAAATGCTGATAACTGGCATCCATGCTCCTTCTACAACCAAAGAAAAATGTATGCTTTGGAGGGAGCTTCAAGCAAACAAGCCACCAGCCTCCCATTGGTGTAGCCTCTCCAGTGCCCACACGTCCTCCATCGATAGAGGTGATTCCTGCATTTTCACATCCGACACCAAGTTTCTGGTCAGAACATAATTGATTGTCAATTAGAACCCCACCACCTCCTTCATTGTTTCCAATTTCACAATCAGGTTTTGAGGGTTCCTCAGATTGAGGAAAATGCTTTTTATTTGTAGTTCGAAGGTCGGGGGGGGGGGGGGGGGCTTGTGTAGGGCTTTCAGAGGAAGAAACAAAGCTTTGTAATCTTGATGAATTGGAGGAACAAACATATCCATCAAGACTTTCATCCCTAATGTGATATGTTTAAACTTTTTATTTGAATTGTTGGATTATTTTAAAAAAAAAAATCAGTTAAGTGGTCCGTTTATCCTGGTAATTAGTTTCCCATGATCAAGGAAACAGATTACCACTAATCCAACCACTAACCCACCTTTTTAGAACCACCACAACCAACTCACGTAATGAGGGGTTTTTGATGGCAAAACTCCCTATATATGCAGACTGAAATTGTGAGTGTAATTCAAAAAAAAAAAAAAAAAGGTCACTGCATCCAACTCTCAAAAACAAACACCATCTAAGTGAGAGTGAGGGTTCAGCAACAAATTTCAGAAAAGAGTTCAAATACGGTTTCGGCGCCGCAACGAGGTTGTTCATCTTCATCTTCCTCGTAGTTTCTGCAATGGCTAGAGGTAAATTTTACACTTTAACGCTTCTGCAATCTTGAATTATATGTTATAATTCAAGCTATGAATATGTTATCGTTTATGCGTGACTTTCATTTGGTATCAGAGCCATGTTTCCTTTGCCTTGCTTAATTAGAATCTTCAACCTGTTTTGCTTATTGATGAAGATGGTGCGGCAATCAATTGTGTTTATAATGCTGTTTGTTTATTCATTTTGCATGTGGTAATCATTGATTTTGAGCATTATGTTTATGTGCTGCAATTATATTTTTGCCTCTACTGTGTATTTTGGATAATGGTGATGCAATTTATATATTTACATATCTATATAATTTATGCATATATAAGAATGTGCTCGTATAAAGTATGCATATTCTCTGATAAAGTATGTATATTTTACATTGATCTTGCTACTTAATAGAGTATGTGATTAATTAAATAAAAAAAAGATTTTATTAGAGTGTGTCATTGCCGTGAGAGTGCTTTACGATGTGCAACGAATTAATAGTTATTCAATTTGACTTTTTAATTCATTAATTACAAAATATGCTTGCATTTATCATGCTGTCAATTTGAATAAATTATTTATCATGTCAAGTGTTTTAAAATGCAAGCATAGTGAGCATAATAATTTGCATACTTTATTAATTAAGAGCGGAGTCAGTGAGGGACATGGAGGGACAGTTGTCCCCCCAACTTAAAAAAAAAAAAAAAAAAAAAAAAAGGGAAGAAGATTAACGGACAGAAAGCCAGAAAGAAGGAAGAAAAGAAAATCATCTTTCTTCGAAGTTCGAAAATCCTCTGCCAGTCCGCCGCTCTCGCTCGTCGGCTCCACTCCTGGCACTCCGTCCCTCCGTCCGTCGAGTCGCCGCCGTCGCTGCTTCGTGATTCACTGTTTCGTCCGTTCGTCGGCTCGTCGCTGGACTCGCTGCTCTCCATTCGACTTCGCTCACTTCGCTAAATCGCTAGATCCAATTCACGGTATGTAAATCTGAATTTAACTCTGAATTATTAGTTTATTACTTGTTTAATTGTTTTTATAGTTTATACTTTTATTCAATTATTCTGGGTATTGAAGATTTGAAGATTGAACTATTGAAATTTTGAAATGTGTTGGTTTATTATCTTATTGAAATCTCTGAATATTGAAATCTGTTGGTTAATTGGTTTATTACTTGTTTTTTCTTCTGTTTTTGTGAATTTATTGAAATAATGAAATGTATAGTTAATTTTGTGAACTTTTGATTGCATTTTTTTCTCCTATTTTTGTGAATTTATTGAAATGTATAGTTGAATTAGAAATTTAGAATTTTAGGTTTTATTATTATGTATGATGTGGAATTGTGGATTGTGGAAATTGATAACGGAGTATATTTTTCAATTTAATTAGGAAATATCAAAAGATTCACCTAATTCAAACAAATCCAAGGCAACTAGTCAACAACCCTATCTTCGACAATTCTTGTTTAAATGACCGAAACAACCCTATCCAATTAGGCTAGCAGAGAAAAGGAGGAAAGAAAGTAAATAGGTTTTGAAACCGAGATGTGTTAGTTTCTTTCATACAAATTTGTGTTGTGTCAACGGTGCAAAGTTTTCAATGTAAGTTTGTCCCACAATCAGGGAAGGTAATGAAGTTGTGTATGCGAAAGCTTGCCTTCCCTTAGGAGAGATAATGTGTATTGAGTCATTGAGGTAATGGGTTGCTTTTCTCATGTAAAGGACAGGCTGATCTGATAGCCAGGTTTAATTTTGCATGCATTTCTTATTATATAAATCCAAATCAATTTTCATAGTCTGATTGTGTGAGTGTGTGACTGTTAGAATAACTATTGGACTACTTCCTGCTCTTGATATTAACTTAGGAATTTTTTAAATTAACGCCAGATAATCTATAAAAGCAAGCAAAATATCCTCACTATGCAGCCCCTTGTATGCGCAAGTATATGAAATTGTTTGTTTGCTTAGACCAATGCTTCTAGATTATGTTCTATGTTCAACAATTGTTTTTAAATTTCATTCACATTGAATGTGGGATAATCTATTTGTTGAGTAATTCTCCAATGTGTTTGTTTGGGAAGGTTTAGGTAAGGGATCTTTGATAAATTTAAATGATATTTTTTGGTTTGCAGTGAATGGGATTTTGGACTTTGATTGAAGGGTTCCTCCTTTTTGCTAATGCATTAGCAATACTAAATGAGGATAGATTTCTCACTCCGAGGGGGCTGAGTTTTGAGGCTACAACAGGGAGAAAAAAGTCGCTTAAACAACAAGCTGTAGGTCTTATCTATGTAGCTCAATACTTCAGGTTGCCCTTGATAATTTTGAATGTTATCATGATCGTATCAAAGCTGGTTTCTGGATGAGGTAAATGGTGAACTGACTATATCCAAATTATTCATTTAACATAGGACATCGTCACATCTGGATGTTTTGTGCTCATATGGCATCCAATTATCTTATTTTTTGATACGACATGGAGAGAGATGTGTGGGTGTTGTACTTTGCTTTTGAATATGTTTATGTGATTATTTAAAGGCAGAACTTATGTAAAGGATGTTGTGTATCTTTTTTTTTTTTTCAGTTTTATGAATAACAAAATCTTGATTTTGTAATTGATGATGATACACTTCTAGCTTATAACTAGATGGCTTAACATCTATATCATGTACTAGTTCTTTTATAGCAGGCATCTCCCAACAATGCAACTTGTAATTACCGCTGTCGCAAAATCATCATTACCGCCAACCTGAATATCAAAGTATAAAAATTTGTGTTTAATGATAAAGGTTATCCTAGCTTTGATGCAAATGCTGATTATGGCTATGCTTTGAAAATAACAAGATATCTTTGTAAGTGATTATGTTCCACGTTAAGACAACCGCTCCAAAAGGTTATCTATATAAATCTCATTTCGTATACTAGGAACCAAACGCATCCTGAAGTGAGCAAAATGATACACATTGATTTTTATATTTTGAATTTGTTTGATGTTGTAATTGTACATTCATCTTGCTCCAAGGATGTATTTGACAAATGATTTAATCCGTATTGAACCAAACAAGAATTGCCAAAATTTGTAAAAAAAAGATTCCTCTGCATCTTCTGGGGGTGTAAGTAGGTGACTGTGGTCTAGTACTGAGGTTGTATTCCAGTCCCTGAATGGCTGAATACCATGAAAGTCGAGAAGTTCAAGTTATCCACTATTACTTTTCTGGCACTGATCTGAAGTAAGTTAGCCTCAGGAAAGTGCACTACTACACTACACTGCTCTCAGTTGGAGGTAGCTTAAGAACTTTTCAGGTTTGATTATGCCAATGAGTGTCCTGCCCACAATATATAAAATTAACCTTTTCTTGGCTAGCTTCCCAAATTCATAACAGATCAAAATTGGTCCACTAATTAGCGAGGGAATGGTCAAACGATGTTCATATGTTGAAATAATTGAAAACAAAGAGAATAGCTTCAGCAAATAAAGCCGAAAAACTAAATAGTACCAAATCCGACCTGAACCGATTTTGATAATTGTACTGGTACTGGTACATCATCTACTGGGAAACCTCTATTCATTCTGCCACAGTGGATTTGAAAGGCAAAGCATATGAGTAAGTCTCTTGTGCGGACTCTCTTGCTTTAAGGAAAAGAAAGGGTGGAAATGTTAATAGTTTTGGTCGTGGATTTATTTCTTATTTTCTTATTTTCGTGGAAATGTATGTGAATACTTTTTTGCAAGTTATAAAGCTAGTAAACAAGCAATAAACTGTTAACCATTGAACCAGATTACTTTTAATGGCATCACCAAAATGGATTGCCAACTGCTATTGTTTATCTACTCGTTATTAGTTTGGTCCACTTCAATTTGATGGTCCTGGTGCTAATTCTAAGGCTTTTAGCTTGTGTGAGGATGACCAGGATTATATTTCAGCCGAGGAGATCCTGCTAGATCTGCCACTTGAATGCTGGCAACGAATACTGTGCTATCTAGACAACCAACATCATCGTCACCAAAATTACCGTGAATCTCTTTCACTAGTCTGCCAAAGTCTCTACGACATCACCTCTTCCCTGCCCTTCATTATTTTCATCTCCGACCCTCTTTTACAACAATCCCATATCTTCCTAACTTCCTTCGACTCCTCGATCGCTTCGAGGGTGTCTCTGGTGACCTAAATGCTGCACTCTTTGACTTAGCAAATTCTTTCCAGTTCTCCTCTTCTCAACTTAGGTATTTGTTCCTCAACAACCAACCAATTCTGCCCTTGGAAGGGATAAAAAGGTTGTCCACTAAGTGTTCTTGTTAACGTTGTTTCTCTCTCTGATATCAAATTGGCTGAGGTAACTTTGGTTTTTCCTTCACTCGAAGAAGTTGATATCTGTTTTTTTGATGAGGGTGTGGAGGGACCTATAACTGATGTAGGGGTTTGTGCTTTGGCTAAGAATTTGAATATGATATGGTTACTAATCAATCCCCAGTCTCCCTATCAAGTCATTGTTTGTTTTAGACTGTCATAGCATTTTTCTTGCGTTACAGTAGTCGGCTTGAATCTATAACTTTTAATCAATCTCTTCACACTGAGCTAGCCAACACTAAACCAATTAATGTTGAAAATTCAGTTGGTTTTGCCAAAAAATTAAACACTGTTCATATAATATCTTTTTAATTTCTAGATTTAATAATTATGTTCCATTAGGTTTTTTTTTTTTTTTTGAAACCTATGTTCCATTAGTTAAAAACTTTCAAGTTATGCTTAATTTAACTTAGTTACACTTTGTGATCAAATATATGCTAAATATAATCAACTCAATCGTCCATTAAAAATGATTTTCTTATTTGAATTATTTTTAGAATTAGTTATAATTTTGGGTCAAAATTATTAAGGTTGGCCAATAATTATAAACATTAACATAGGAACAATTGAGCAATGACACATTTTTTAGACTAATATTTGCTCCCATGTTAAAATTATATAAATAAATTACAAAAAGTTTTTATTTTGAAATTAAATTAATGAGAACAAATCATCCCAAGCCGTACCTTCAATGTGTTGCTTGATAGATGCCTTCAACAAGACGAATTGGTGGGAAAAAGCATCTAGAAATTCAACAAAGGCTAATTGTTCATCAAAATATTAGTATTTAATTACCGCTCATGGATATACACATCATCTATAATTAGCTGCATGTACTTTGGTACTCGAATTTGTATTAAGTTTTGAACAGCTATTCTAAAGAAAGACTTTCTCACTGATATCATCAGCGAAATTTCAATTAACATCAAAATTCACATCCACTGTTTGGGGAAAAGGAATTGACAGTATTTCACAAACTGACTGAAGCCTAGCGCACCTCAAGCAGAATTATCCTGAAGATGACGACGCAAATCGCAGCGAAGCATTTCCACAAATTGCTGCAAACAGAAAATGTTGCAGGTAAGCAAAGTGTCATTTAGACCATCCATAGATTTAATTAAATTTAAAAAATGCAACAGAAAATATTAAGTTTAAAATAAACACAACAAAATGGATTCTACATCGCAGCAAACAAGACAATGGTTCCTAGTTGGTTCATAATAAAAAAGGCGCAAGGGACAGGTTGCCTAGAGTACAAAACTACTGAATACATACAAATACTGAGGTAATAGGGATCCTTCCTTATTTTTCAGCACCTCATTTAAGCGATACACACTTGATAAAAGTCAATTTTTGGTGAACAACTTTAGTTGCTTGCCTCTGGTGCACCTTAGTTCTTAGGTTCGTATAAATGTTAGCCTAAACCACACCATGGAATGGAATAACCTATGTGAGAGTATGAGGACATAAGGGGATGACTGGAATGATTCTCCTTTTTAATATTGCCATGCTTAATTGACCTATAAGTCTGAGGACATAAGGCGGTGACAGGGATGATTTCCCTTTTTTATCACTACCATGCTTAATTGACTACTTGCCTATGCAACGTGAAAGTATATGACTTTACATAAATACATGTTAGCAATGAAGAAAATTGTTACAATGGTCAGAGAGATGCTTTACAATTTATTCAATTTATTCATAAAAACAAGCTATTGAGATAAACTTTAAATAATTTAGAAGACGATGCAAATTCACAGAGAATCACAACCAAAAAAAAAAAGAAAAAGTGTTATTTATTGAAACAAATGTTTTAAGACAGGTTCCGGAGGTTATGAGACATATATTAGAGAAATTAGTATGAAAAACTTTGACAGCAACATTATGCAGGAGCAAGGAAGCTATGATGTACTTCCTCCGTTCCCCTAATATTGCAACCATGAAATTTCACCAATATTGCAACATTACCATATATGCACATGCTCTCTCTCTCTCTCTTCATATGGGTCCTTATCTTTGTCTCTCCACAACTTAATCAAGTTTCACTGCAGTCGTACGACCATTCACAGGGTTAATGGCAAAGGATGATCCACGTAACCCCTTAGAATAGATGTAAATTGGCTTGCTAGAATAGTGAATTTCCATCAAAAAAAAAAAAAAAAAATTCACCCTATTCAACATATACTAGAATTTTGACTTCTTAAGAAAATGCTTGGGAATAATTAAAAAAAAAAAAAAACATGGTACTTACATTAACAAGGTCTTGATTGCTACACAATTCATCTATAACATTTCTTCCAGTAGTTTCAGCAATCTCAGCAGCATTCTGAGCCATGGAACGAAATATATCTTGAGATGGACTGTGAAGGTCAATCCTTTGTACCGCCTCCTGAATATTATTCTGATAGGGATCAGGGAAAAAAAAAATTGCACAATAATAAGTTACAAAGAATCATAATTTATGAAAAAGATCATGACACCAATAATATTAAAAATCATAAATGCAGCATGCTCCGATGCCTTTACTCTATACAAAAGAATATATTGTTTCAAAGGTGAGAAGATTTGAAGTGTTCTACCCCACCAGAACCAATATATGAGCATGAAACCAATTTTGAAAGGAATAAAGAGCAAACAACTTTAAAAACTGCAAATTTCAACACAACAATAAAAAAAACTCGACTTGGAAGACAAATTCAGATAAAGCTTTTAAACTCATCAAACATTACAAGAACTGAGAGCAAATGTCACATAAATCACAAATATAACAAGTGTCACTAAAAAATACAAGACTTTTATGGCATAATCTGAATGGGAAAAAAAATCTAAGAAATTTTATTTAATTGAGAACAAGCTCATAAATCACAATTGTGCAAGATACAATGCACTGACAACTTATGATTATACTAGAAAAAAGATTTACCCGAGATACCGGACGAAATGAAGTGTCTTCTAAACTTCTATCATTAGGCTGTGGCATCAATTGAGGCATCATGTTTCGCAGCTGTTCATTCTGAACCGAACCACCACCCAGAACTTGAGAAACAACTGGCATCATTTGCTGAATCATACTAGAGAAATCAAGAGTACCATCTTCACCACTCCCCATGCCAGAAAACATATTCCTCATTTCTTCTGTATCAACTTGTTGAGCAAGTTGGTTGACAGTGTTTCTCATTGCTGGGTTTTGTGTGAACTGTTGTAGCATATTCCTCAGAACATCAGGAGAACCAACCCCTGTCTGCTGAGCAACCCCAGACAGAAGTCCATTTAAAGCTGGACTTTGAAGAAGCTGTGACATGGTGCCTGTCACATCTAACTGCCCATCAGAGCCCTGTGCACTAGTTTGCGTGCCAGTCATGGACTGCTCAAATCCTTGCCCAGTCTGCCCACTACCAGGATCAGCTAAGCTACTCCTACCAGCAATGCTTCGAGAAGCAAGAGACTGAAGAATCTGCTGGCCACTGATTCTAGCTTCTTGACTCTGATCAGGACTACTAGAAGTTCCAGCTTCACCACTCACAGGATGCATCTGTGATTGCCGACTTCGTCTCTGATCAAAGTAATAATTGGTAATGTCAGAAATATATCTAAAGCAACATACTATAGTTCCTAACCAAAGAGAAAAAGCTCATAAAACTACAACAGAAAATGTCAGAAACTCTAAGTAAACTCACTGCCAACAAAATAAAAGTCATAAGATACCAAGGCATTAGGATTGATATAGCATCATAGACTAACCATCAATCATAATCTGTCACACATTAACATTGTCAAAGCGACCCAATGTCATTGGCACAGACAAAACGCAAATCTAATGACAGACAGTAACAAGATAGCATCAAGAAAATCAATTCTGCTGTAGATAGTAAAGAAGATAAATTTCTACATCGAAGTTAGTTCATTGAGAAACTTTCAAACATTTAGTTGATCCAACATTCTGATCAGCAGAAAATACAAGATAACATCTTCCGATATTTAATGCACCTTGGGTATCAACTTCATGTTACTATGAATTATAACCAGCTGAATTAGACAGCATGGAAGATTAACACAGGCATCTCCAGATTTATTTCAGCAAAGGTTGAATCTAAAGTTGAAGGTCATTATCTTATACAATAATACATAAAGAAGGCTCAGCTAATAATCCAAATTAGGAATAAAGGCTTATGTATCACTCATCAGTTCTTTGGAGCATAAATTGAAAAGATAAGAACAAACTCTGCAAGAGAAACTTTTCTTTACAGGAAAAAGCATACTGTAGAAATTTTTCTGTAATGAAGCTAACAAATAGCAAGAAAGGTGAAATTGCTAGCAAATACTTCAGATGCTGGCATTAACGTTCAATATATTGGTTCATCACTCGAGAGCGAGAAGTTATCACTTCCTTTCAAATGAATAAGAAACGAGCACTTTACCTTAGGCTGCAGACCTCCACCTAAACCAAGTGGAACTTCTTTGGCACCAGTAGACTTGTCAGCTAGCTCTCCACTTTTGCAACTTGGAGAGCGTTCAGCCATATACGCAGATTCCTCATTTGATTTTGAAGAATCACTTTGAACACTTTCCCTACATTCAGTCAGATCCTAAAACACACAAATAATAAATCAACTTTGATAAAACCTCGAAACTCCACACATTTTCAAATCTAAACAATGCCAGCAGAAACTAAAATTCCTTTAACAAAGCTCCAGACTAAGGTAGACACTAATGTAAGGAGCTTTAACCATACAATTGCATGAAAGCTGTATTTAAAATAGGTTTCAAGGAAAGACACGAGTACAATACATGAGGGTCGTTCCTATTATATTTATTTGATGAAAATTTTAAGATGCTTCAACTCAATATCTAGAACATTTTATTGAAAGAGACAGTCAAGAATCATGATACCTTTTCAGCCTGTTGTCCAGATACAGATCCCAGGTGTGATTCATGCGCCTCCCCACTACTCTCAGAATGAATGGTTTGAGATGGATCAGTAGTATCAGCATTATCTCCACCTGATCCAGCAGCAGAATTTGGGACAACAGGATTCTCTTGCTGTCCTAAAAGTTAAAATAATAATTTTTTTTAAAAAAAAAAAAACACCTTTGTAAGCCAAGCTTAATACGGACAATTAACAGTACAATTACTAATATTAAGAAAGTTACCAGGAGTAGTCTGATTGTCTCTGCGCATATTTTCAAGGAGATTTCTGATCTGGGAATTTACTTGAGAAATAACTGATGAAAATGAAGCAGCATCAGGAGATGAGGAAGTGGAAACAACACCTATAGGTTGTGACGTAGTAGGAATTGGGGAAACAGCAACAGTTGCAGTACGAGATGGTACAGTAGCAGCAATAACATTCCTCACAGGGAATACTCGGGTTGCACCAGAATCACCGGAGGCACTAACACCACCACGCTCACCCTGTGCACCTTCTCCACCAGCAGCTCTTGCACCAACCGCAGAGACTACTGGAGAGAGTGATGTCCCTGTATCATGAGCAATCCCATATTAACCAACCTAGATTATGTTTATGTACTGCAGCAGATCAAAATCTCAAGCAACCTTTTTATAAAATAATAGGAATCTTCTTACCAGCATGTATGTGAATGTTAATCTGCCTGGGAGCACTTCCAATTATCCCAACTGGAACAGAAGTTCCTGTATTTGGAGTAGCAACAGCAGGAGCACTGAAAAGTGGGCTGGTTTGATGGGGAAAAGGCTGCATAAATATAATAATAATTAAAATTATTTAATGGAAGATCCTAGCAACAAACAACAGCCCTGTCAGCATCCAGGTAAACAAAAAATGTTCCAAGCAGCAGCAAAACTATAGATCCAAGCAATTTACATAGATAAATAAAGAAATACTATAGTCTTATAGACTAACAAAATGTAGCAAGTAGTGGTGGAATGCTTTTGAATAACAATTTTAATCTGAGGCATTCCTTTACAAGCATAAAGCATCAAAAGACAAACAAGCAAACTAGCACTTTAGGAATAACTAATCGACAACTATCATCTCTGAACACATCATTATATCACCAACTACTACTAAAAGAAATAAACTAAAAAATATAAAAGTTAATAAATTATTTCACTCAATTTTAGCAGAGATCAGCTCCAAAGAAGTAAAACCCTAACGTGATAAGCCAGGGAAAATAACACCAATTCCGTCCTCTTATCAAACCAGTTTCACTAGAAGAGTCACCATCTTAAGACATAATAATTGAAACAACTAACCTGAACCATTATAGGATTAGGTCCTGATGGCGATATGTAGACTGCATGTCCAGTATTAACCACAGCCTCTGCCTGTAAACCAAACCAAGAAAAATGAGGATAAAGCACTCTATCAATTAAATTTGTAATATCAGCTAAGTGTATATGATTGAGAGCACGTACAGGAGACTGCCCCATTCGCAACATTAATATGGTCCGACCAAGCTCTAGCAAAAGAGCACCTAAATGCTGCATTGTTAGACCTACTTGTACTGACTCACTCTGGATCTGACTCCTCACAGACGCGTCAGTTGATCCAGATTCTTGCTCCAACCGTCCTGCAATGTGCTAAATGCATACAATTGCAACTAACTGGTATCAGCATAACAAGTTGGATCACATAGACAGAAGGCAAACATGTCACATCTATAATCATCACTTCATCAGTTTATCACTTCATCAGAAACTTAGCAAACATCAAATCAAGAGAAGGCAAGAAACAAGCAGTGCCATCAACGATTGATTTTTAAAAAAAATGTAATTCAAAAGTTCACAAAGCCAAAAAGATAAAAATCAGTGTCAGTATGAAATTACAATACAATTTCATCGACATCACACAAGATGACATTCTTCACATGGCTTGCAAAGAAAGTTGTATGGAAGAGAGAGGAAAATAAAGCAGGGAAACAACAAGCTGCCTTAGGAAAAAGCTTGAGAGAACTGAGAGCAGCAAGGGAACGTGATTCAATCCTCAAACTTAAATCAGCTTGAGCTGTGCATTTGGCACATCTAGAATACAAATCAAGGAAACAGACATCCAGAAATCACTGCAACCTAATGTTCTGCGTGGGGTGGGTGGATGAGAGAGAGAGAGAGAGAGAGAGAAGGGGGGAGGGGGAAGGAGAGAGAGAGAGAGGGGGGGCTAAAAATATTTTCACCCTGCTGAAGGAAAAAAAATGATATTACAACCCATAATGACTTAAGCTATTAATCTTCTCACATTTTTGTTTCCAGGGAAGCACGATAGATACCATTTCATCCAAAATCCAATAATATGAACACAAGTGATACGTGTGCTTTAGGAAATAGTGGATCCATTATGTGGAATCTTTCATCCAATGTATGGATAATTTAAAATTTAAAATGTTAAATGTGTGTTAAGCTGACTATCACATAATTAATTGTTTTACTATTTACATGAAGCATCATCCTAGTAAGTAATAGCATGTGTTTAATAGAAAAAGTAAAGGGAAACACAAATGTGTATGGTGAAGTGATGAGCTATTTAAAAGCCAACATTGTAGTCCATAAAAGTTTGGAAATAAAAAATAAGACAATATATCACTACAATTAGCCACCTTCTTCATTGAAAAATCTTACATCTTTCAATCAACTTAGCCCACATTACTAATCTATTCTCAATTAGAAAAAATGTACTAGTATATGCAACTTTAAGCAAACAAGAGTACTAAGGTATGCAGCGTACAGAAAGTGATGCAGCAGCTAGACCACTCAGAAGCCGTTCTGCACGTCTCAAAACTATGCTTAATGCTTCGGGTGTAGGCAATCCTCTGGAATTCGAGGGTAATTCCGTAGCTGGTTGATCTGCCAGGCCACTTGGAGATGCAGAGGGTTGATATCCTACAGTTATGATGAGACAAGGTTAACAAGGAAAACCAAAATGGAAAAATAAAGAGAAACAATTCAGCAAAAGGTCTTTTGAAAAGTCACCATTTTGAGAGAGAAACCCCTCCATGCGACTTATAAACTCAGAAAGTGTGTTGAGTGAATCTGGAATTGGCTGAGACACCAATTAAAACAAGCAAGATTATATAGTCTACAAAAATAAAATACGTAGTAATAATAAAAAAAGCAAAGTGACGAGCGATAAAACTAAACAGGTACAAAAAGATAGTGCAAACAGAGAAATCAGTACCATGTTTAGTGAAGGCGGTGGGATTGAGATTCCGGCTAAGGGAACATGGAATGGTTGACTCAAGAATGGCTGCCCAAACTGTGTTTGATTGCCGGCTTGGCTTTGACTCCCATTGCCACCTTGGCTTTGCTCTGTATCATTTCCCTGAGGAAGTGGGCCAGAAGGATTTGCCTACAGTTAAACAGAATAATCAACTAACTTTCAAATGAATCATGCAGTATGACATTACATATGAAATTATATTCCATTTGCATGTCAGTCACATCGCTAAACGTGGCTATTAATTAAAGGTATTACAAGACCTAGTACAAGAACAGGACACAAGAGCTACCGCCTAATTGGCACTGAGACAAGGAAAAAGCAGAAAGCGTGCTGTGAAGGCTTTGTAAGTCTCTGCTCCTCATCTTTCACAAATCACTATCGTTCAACTAATCAATTTTAGTTAGTTAATTATAGTAACACACTTTTTGCTCATTATGTTTGTCTTGTTTTTAGTCTACTTTCATTTTAATACATTCTTTCTTTGTTCTATATTTTGCGGATGATTCCTATGACGATTAATGTTAGCTGGCCTAAAACATTTTGGGACCAAGGCAATAAACATCCAACGACAAACCTACACCATACTTGGTAAAAATAATGATAAAAAAAAAAAAAAAAAAAAAAAAAAAAAAGGAACAATCTTGAACCTCTTTGCTTAATTGCTGTCTCCAAAGTAACACCCTAGTCTATTTATACAATCAGCTAACAACGTTATTGTGATAATACTATATTGCCGCAGTTGGATAAAGAAACTAAATCAACCTATTCCCTGCACCCCATCCCAACTATCTTGTCTCCCTTATCAAACTTCTAATGTTTTATTCATTTCAAGCCTCCATGGAGTCCACCCCCCATCTTTCTGATATGTTCTTATCACTCTACCTTCATTCCTCTCCGCCTGTCCCTTTAATTTGATTTTGGATGGAGTTGGTTTTGTTTAGTGCTAATGTAAAGCAAGGAGATGCTTGTGATAATTCTATGTAAGTAGAATGTAGCAAAAAGAGTTTGGTATTAATTCTCAAGGTAGTAAATCTGGTGACCGAGCCACCGAGGTGGCATGTGTGTTTTCTAGATGTCCATGAGGGATAACGAATATTTGTTAGCCAATGTGAGTCCATGGCAATGGCTATTGAAGGATTTTATTTTAAAAAATAAAAAAATAAAAAAATTAGCAATTCACCATTGTTTTCTGATTTGTTTTTTTGTATTTTTTTTTTTAAAACCCAAAGGCCAAGCTTAATTACTTAGATCATGCATAGCAAGCTCCAGAAATCGAGTTGGGATCACAATGTCCCACAATCGTCTGCCAACCTCCCAAGGGTGACCAGTTCATGTGTAAACCTATTCCCTCCTCTCTAAACAAAAGACCAAGACACCTTATCAAAACTATTACACAAAGCAAGGATACTCTCAATAATTGTATGTAAGGAGCTGGAACTAGCCAGCCGATTGCGAAGAGCTTGGATCACGATCAGGCAGTCGCTCTCCAAAATCAACTTCTGAATGCCCATGTCCTTCGCAAGCTGCACCCCAAAATCAACTTCTAGATCACCATATTTTCTCATTTTCAATCACCATTTTCCCAATTTGGTTAACCAAAACCACTCTTTCAATCATCTTTCTTATGGTTTTCCATTTGAATAAGATGTCTTTAATCAGTGTGTTTGTTACAGTCTGAGATTGTGAAGTTACAAGTACTCAACCAAGTCAGCCATTAATGATGATAGCAATTTAAGATGAGATCAGAATAAATAATCAGGTGAGGAAGAAAGAAAAGGAGAGATAAATCTCAAAACAATCTTCCATTTCGTTCCAAATGAATGTGATTATCTTAAAAGGAGAAAATGAATAATAGATGCTATCAAATGAATAAAAAAAATGGAGATATTTTTGACAAATAATCCACCTTGTCCGGCGTGCTCAAAATGAGCCAACCTTTGCGTAATCAGGGAACAATCTCATCTTTGCCCCCTATTTTCTCAAAACCGTCCCTTCAAAGGCTTTAAAAGTTGGTACCAAGTTTTAGAAGGTGACTTGCTACGTGTCACCTTCTAATTGATCCTCTTTTTTTAATTAGCAAATGGTTTTGCATGAGAATGAGGTATTTGATCGTAAGAGATGAAGGAAGAAGACTTTTGTGGAGGCCTATACAAAATAATCACTTTTGGTTCATGTAGCTGACCCTATTTATGGGATTAAGACTTTGATTGATGAATGAATTTAATAAAAATAAATAAATAAAAAACAAAATTCCGGCAGCCAAACCCTATCCCACACCACCCTCCTTTCCCGTTCCCCCACCTGAACACCACCCCCTTCCCCGCCCCCGCCATCTCGTAATTTATACTAACAGAACAACATAGTCATATTGGATCTTATTAGATTTGTCTCAATGATAGTTGAATTTGTGCATTGGCAAATGGGAAAAACAAAAATGTTGCAAGTCTAAAATAGATATAAGAATGAAAGTATAAAATTTTAATCTTATTCAACGTCTCAGAACAATAGAACCAAAGTATTATACCTAATAATATTTAGGTATGATACTAATATAGTTAATACAATAACTAAAAAGGAAATTATCATACTATATTACGATCACCATATTTAGGTATAATACTATCACTATATTTATTACACCTGATAATATAATTGTTACTACAATAACTAAAAAGGAAATTATCATTTCTAAATAGCCAATTCAGTGCCAATTAATACTCCTAATACTAAATTCAAACACTTAATTTAGTATAACGGAATACCTCCGATCCTTTTTGTACTTTACAGTTTACACTATACCTTTTAAAGCTTGCCAATGCAAATTTTTTATCATAAATACTCTACCGTTCCTTTCATTTTTTATTTTTATACTTTACCTTTTTTGTTTTTATGCTTGCCAATGTAAACGTTTAATCATAATTCTCCCTCCATTCTTTATAATCTACTCACTTGCTTTATTTCATTTTAGGTCTACCACATATACATTCTTACCCCTTTTACCCAACAATTATAAAACATTTTCACACTCTCTCTTACTTTATTCACCTTTATCTTACACCCACCAATCCTTTTGCATTCTCTCTTTTACTTTATCCTACTTTATCTAACCACCATTCTTTTTTTTAAAAAAAAAAAATAAAATATTTGGCATGAAGTAACTTTAGTAAATTTAACCCCCAACTTACTAAGCAACTCAAAAGATGATATCTTCCTGACCTAAACATCTCATCTATATAAATTAAGTGAGTCTCGAGTATCACCATATAAGTAAACCCTTGTAGCCAATGATAGGTTCTAAAACTTCTATTTTGTAAATGCTTGTCAAAGATAAGTGGATTGCAATATGTCATAAATTTTAGAACTATCAGCAGGGAGATAATACAAGCTCAAAGAAGGGGAAAATAATGGAAATTTAATATTTTTAGATATGACTATGTCCCATATATTTCTATATTTCTTACAATTTTACTTGCCATCGACATCATAGTATGTCACAGATCTTAATATCTTACTATAATACTACGTATGTAGTTATGTATTACCCCCCATTTCACAACATCCTTGAAAAATACTTTTGAATAAGACTGAGATGAAGATGAGTGAATACATGTAAACTGTCATTCGGTGTAGGATAGGAGAATAAAATTTGAATATCATTACCAAAAATGAAAAAAGAAAAAGTGTAAAGAGCTAAAATAAATTGACAAATGAGGAAGAGTAAAAATAAGAAGGAACAAAAGTAATATTATGCGTTTTGAAATTTAATATTGTATTCATATTACAAAAAGAAAAATAATCCCTTTGTCCCATATTAGTTTATACACTTTCTTTTTTCATTTGTCCTACATCAGTTTTTACAGTTACATTTTAGTTCAAGACCCCATAATAATTTTACTACAGCCATTTTTCCACTATCAAAAATTAGGGTTCAACACTCTCACATTGAATAAAAAATACTCCACTACCATTAATCAAATTAATACCGCACTATTTCCTTTCACATCTACCTTTCTAATAAAATAACAATAATACAAACAACTTATCACCTTATACATGGAATGATAAATGTCAATACTTATTGGGAATGGAAGTAGTGCAATGATTTAAGAGGTCACACCTTATCGTATTCTTACCCAATAAACCCTAGCCTCTATTGATTGAAAAAAAAAGGAAAATCAGGGCCGATTTTGGACATTGAAAGTAGTTGCTATATTTATTTGTGATTGTCATTCTGTTTTACTTTTGATAAATTAGACTCCACCACTTGTGACTCATTATAATTAAAAAAACAAAAGTAATATCATTGATTATCATCAATATTCAAGAATAGACCACAAAATTGCACTCAACCAGTTTAATTACAAATTGGTAATTGTAAACTACATTGCTAAACTAGGATCTTTAACCCTATCTACATCTATGTAAATATCATCCAATTGTCGCATGATTCTTTATCGTTAGAAATTGTTATGTTCGCCAAATAGTTAAATTATTTTCTTAATGTAAAAGATACTACTGTGTTCAGCTAATACCCCTTTTAAGTTATTATCCCTTTGCCAGAACGGTTCCTGACATAAGTCTTATCAGCAATGAATTGCAAAGATGTATTAAAAGTAAAGGATTTCATACAGTATACGTAAACTCATGAGAATCATATACAAACAGATAAAAATTCTCACAGCAGCAGTGTTTGGAGCACCAAATGTAGCATTTGTAGTTTGATTGCCAACACCTAATGAATTCAACACTGCCCCAATAACCTACAAAATAAAGAGCAGATTTTTTTAAACTTCTTGATTACTAACCAAAGGAGAGGGGGAAAAGGCAATGCAATCACAGTATACATTCCACTATTATTTAAATCATACGCACCCGACTGAGATCAGAAGCACCTCCTTCACCTTGATCACCAACATTGAGGGTACCAAGAACTACACTATGGGAGATTTGACCAACACGATTCCGAGGAAGCCCAGCACTACCGTCGATTCCTTATAATTCACAAAAAAACAAAAAGTGAACCGACAATGTTGGTCATGCTTCATAGAGATACACTCTTCCCACGAAAAACAGAAAGAATATGTAGGATGCAGAATAGAATAACATTACATACCTTGAGTTCCAATGTTACCAGCAGCATCAGTAGAACCAGTACCAGATGAAGTTTGTGGTTGGGTTGGTTGCCTTTCAACTAAATGCAAGGTATCCCCACTTTCCACATCTAGAAATAGTCAAGGAATCACCATAGCAGAAGATATGTGAACTCAGCAACACAAATTAGATTCCGACGATAGGGCCACAACGAACTCTTCAACACTTGTCGTGCAAGCGATGATGCTAAACATCAAACAGCAGGTCATACATAGAAAGCATAAAGATAGATTTATCAAATTCACACAATTCAAATCTCATCTAGACAACAAAAATATGTTTGGATCTATCTAGACAACAAAGGAAAAACACCTCATGGGGATTCTGCTGCTAGCATAAGATGGAATTCTATACAAACTAGATATTATAACTAATTGCAGGATACGGTACTCAGAGAGTACGTGTTCATCCTTTAAAACCTTTCCCCTGAATATAAGCCGTTGCTGCCCCACAGGAACACCAACTTTATCAGCAATAATTCCCTTAAATGAGGACACAAGCATCTGAAACATCAAGATTACAAATATATCAGATCACTGCGTATGTATGCTTAATTTTAAAGACCATATATTTTCATACATTAAGATAACACTTTATAAATATAAATAAGCAACATTAACATTCCAGAAATCTAGACTTCTCATTCGATTAGCCATTTGAAAAAAAAAAAAAAAAAAAAAAAAAAGTTGAACAACCACCATTCTGTAAAATTTTGACAAAAAGAAATAATTCAAATAGAGTCAATCTTATATGATAACAAATCAACAATCATTTTGTTGCTGAACACACTTATTCTGGTCTTGCAGCCAACTCAAATAGCTGAGAATAGTTATATTGGGAACGTGATACAGATTCCAGCTTCGTGAACCAAATATGTGCAATCAAAACACAATTCTATTCGGTGAACCCTACATGTTTAACAAACTTAAGACCCAAATAGCCAAGTCACTACAGGTAGCGTTACGCGCTCTTATTCATGTACCATGAAATGTATCGTACCACATACCATATAACATTGCTTCCAAATCAATATATACATATAAAAATTAGCAACCAACCTAATACCTTTACTAGAAAATAATTCATACATAATTACATAAGATAGTGTATTTACTGATGTTATAAATGAACAAGCTCTTGCAAGACTGGCATTAAATACTTCCACTTCATGAGCAAGAAAAAGCGCGTTCAATTTAAGAAAACCTTCCGCTTCACATAATTATACTCCACACAACAATCTTGAAACCCTCCACTCCAGCCGTTCTCAAAATAAGTTTTTCCAGTGTGAGACAAATAAGTACACAATAAGCTTTGCCGGATATAGAATATAGAGTAAAACTTACCTGAATTATCATTATTTCTAACCCCAAAAAAGATTTTACAGCCAAGCCTTAATAAACTGCATGATGAAGACTATCGATGCAAAATCATCAAGTAGATGTTTTTCCAAAAGAATCTTTTCAAGCCTACAGTCAGGTTTTGTATTTGGTTTTACAAGAATAATTCTATGTCCACATTGCTTCGTTAAGTTAGTTTAATAATGACAGTATTTCAAAACCTATAGCTAAGACAACATTGAAATAACACAATGCGATCTCAGTATTAAATTTTTTTAATTTGGAATGTAGTCATAAAGCGCAATGATGACATGTAGATAAACATTTCTTTCCCCAGAGAAAAAATTAAGTTAACAGGAAAATAAGCAAGAAGAGTAAAGGAGGTCAAGATAAAAACAGTTGGACACCTACATTCTTGTCGACCTGAAAATTATACATCTGAGAGTCCAAAGTCTTGATGTTGAGATCCAAAGTTGAATCAGGCGCGCCACTAGTGCTGGCACCCTCCATAGATGGCTGCTCCGCCATGATAGTCTACAACGCAAATGGCACCACAACAATTAATCAACTTGCACAAGCTATATAATGATCATGGACATCCGAGACAACCTAAATGCGCACACAACAACAATAGTTCCAGGTGCCAAACAATAGCTTAAAGCATAAATAGTCGCTCCAATCACAGATAGAGCGACAGCAAATTTCGAGCCATATGTTAGACAAAACCTAAGCCCGTCACTGAGCAAGGGCGGGAGAGGCGGCCGCCCTAAACCGGAGGAGATGAAGTCCATTTTCATATAAACCTAAGCCAGCAACACATTAGCAAATAGCAATCAAACTTGATTCAATCATCAAATTAGGCTCCAAAAATCAAGTTAAATTCTTCTTCGGCAAAATTCAGACAACAAGATCGTCAGTTATAATCATTCATAAAATGAGTATTTCTAACCAAGAATTCAATAATCAACATAAGAAGAACCCTAAATTGACTATACTGACAATCAAATTAAAGATTAACACTAGATTGTGAAATTGATATTCGATGATTAAAAAGCAAACACATTTTACCTCAACTCAAAAGCTGGTTGAATGGAGGAGAGAAAGCTTAGAAGCAGCTTTAATGGAGATATCAGAGTACGCTTCAATGGAGGAGAGAGAGAGAGGAGAGAGAGGGGTGAAGCGAGACAGAAGAAACGTGAAAAAGGGGCTGGGAGGGGGAAAAGGAAAATATAGATCTACTAGGACCAAATTTAATTAATGACACCAATAATCACTCCATAATTAAGTACTCCTTCCCTCCCTTATCTACATGCCTATTTCCCAATTTTTACGCAAATTAAAGAACTTAAAATTCGTTAAAACCCATGATAGTCGGTAATTATTGAACAGATAGAGAGAGAAAATGTTGGAAAATGATGTCAAAAGTACAAAAAAAAAAAAAAAAAAAATTGATGACAACTCATCAAAAATAGGGAATATTGTCAAAAAGTACATTCCTTAAATAGAAATAGGCATGTAGTTTTGAACCTCCAAACAGGAAAATAGATATGTAGATAAGGGACTGAGGGAGTAGAAAGCTATATCCAATTTGTAATAATGTGTGTTTTAAAAATAAAAACAAAATTAGTTATTGGTTCGAGCGATGTCTTGACTCCCAAATCATTATAACTTTGTAAGTTTGATAAAAAAAATATATATAATTGGAAGGTTAGTGTTCAACAATATTTATAAATGATTAAAAGTATAATAATAATAATAATTTAAGATTAATGGGTGCTAGTTTATATTCAAATTATTACATAATAAAATAATACCTTATGTAAATATTACTTTATATAATAGCTTAACTAGTATTAAATTTAGAGAATTAGTATCCAAGGAATCAACAATCATTAGTGTGTGATTAATGTCTTACAAATTAAATACGAAGATTACACATATACAGAGTTTTACGGTGATGAGTGATGACACATAAGGTGACACATAATGCTCACGTGGTGCCAAATCATATTGAAGGAATGGTGACACATGACGGTAGCATGTTATTCCTTTGAGTTTTAATAATATTATAGATGTCACATGATGGTAGCATGTTGTTCCTCGGAGGTCATTGGTTTCTTCTTTCTTCGAACCGTATTCCTAAAGAAGATCTCTTGTATGTAGGAGTTATCTCGAACTAAGCGCCCTTTTTTCCTCGACCAAACGCTATAAAAACTAAACCATTGACTCTTTAACAACTTGACTCTAATTGACTCGTACTCTATAGGGTTGAAAAAGTAAAAAATAGGTGCATATTTTGTGGGGATCAAGTAGAGAAGACAAGTTTTCAAAACATACTCTCCAACTTACTCCCCTAAAAAAATGACGGAAAACAACATATGCAAGACTCTTAGCATGGTCACGGTGTGAAAGAAGACATGTACAAGGTGTGTGCAAGGCTCGTGAGTGAAAGTGAGATTTACAAGACTCGTGTGATGACCATGGGACTAGACACGTGATTAGACTCATACAAGACCAAGAAAAGACCGTAAACTATTATTAAATTGGTTAATCATAACAGCGGGACTCGATGCGAAGACTCGGAAAGAAACGACTAAACCATCGCGTGACGATGGAACTGTCGCACGACGATGGTTCCATCGCGGAACGACAGGCTTGTCGCGACGCGATAGTCACCATCATTCTACGCCACAGATCAAAGTGCCGCGCCAAAACTTGAACGTCATTGTAATCTGTTTTCGGTCATTCTTTCGAAGGTTTAAGCCTAAAGTCTTCTAGGTCGAGCATATTCATTTATTATGAGCTGATTTTAATTAACCAAATTAATTGAGCAAAGTCTTTTAGCCTTTGGGTTAGTATATACAAGTCATAAGAAAACAAGTCAAGAGAAAGGTTATTTTAAACACAAACAAGCTATGCACAAATAGCCATGTAGTCACAACATAATGCAATGAGTTTGCCACCTAACTAAGACTCTAGTTCTCTAAAGTCAAGGATTTTGGTGTCCAAGAGGGTCCATGGTTAAGACTCCGGATGCATCGCACGAAAGCCTTACCTTAGAAGGGTTGGCGCGATGGACGGGACCCCGCGAGTTAAACTTAACTCCATGGTTTGGTAAATTCAACAAACTTAGATGCACCATTATTGCTAGAAGGCAGGGACTAATGTCCGGCCACAGCCGTGTCGCGAAACGACAGGGCTGTCGTTCGACGTTGGTCACTATCGCCAGGCGACAGGTCTGACGCTTTGCGGCAGCTTCGTTTTTCGATTTTTGCAGCGTCATTTTCGATTTTAGTTGTGAAAAATATTTCTGGCCTTTCCTATGTGTATGACCTACGTTTTGACGCATTACGGATGGTCTTTCCAATGTGTACCTTTTTATGCTTATGCCATAGTGTTAATCAAATTTACGCACATGAATATCAAGAATCTTTCAAGTCTCATCCACTCATTCTAATTAATTGCTAAGCAAATTAGGAATTAATTAGAAATCCTCCCTAGTGGAATCGCCAAAAAACTGTAGGGAACTTTTATCCCGCCCCATATGCGGGTCATGTTTTTAACCATGGAGGCGCTCCAAGGAAAAGAAACTAGAGAAAAAGAGTCTCCAACAAGTTTTAGAAACTTGTAAACCGTTCATGATTATGAAGGTTACACCACATTCATAATCACAGAGGTTGCTAACTCCATGTGGTCTGGAACCATGACTGGATGTTCGAGGATGATAGTACGAATTCAATCTAAAAGAGATCAAACCCGCCCTAAATAGGCCTCTACTTGATTCTTTTTTATATTCATGTGCGCTTTTTAATTAACATACATACATCAAATTAGCCCTAAACTTGTTTAATCTACGTTAGTTGATTATCAATGCACAAATAAGTCTAATATTGGTGATCACTTGAATTAAAATCATATTAAGCCTAAATTCAATTATTAATTATCTTATTAGGCGTGATTTCAAGTACACTCCCTTTAAGTCTACAGAAAAGGGTTGTGATCGAGCAATAACAATAAATCATGAATAATCAAGCAACATATGATTAACAATATCACAATCATCATCAAAACATCGTTAGTAAGATCCTAGGCATGATACTAAACAGATTAATAACAACTCCTAGCATGTTACTAATAACAAGATCAAAACATTAGCCTAAACATGATACAAGAAATCCGAACATAATCCTAAACATGATTTCTAATAATCAAAAGAGCAATAATAAGGGTAAATAGATTACTCACTTTGATGCCTCAACCTTCTTACTATTAAAATAATACACACGTTAGTAAACTTCAAGAAAGTTAAGTCAATAAAGTAAATAAATCAAATATGAATTGAAATATATATTTGGGACCAAACCCTCAGAACTATCAACCTTTCACGTCGAGCATGATTTGGAGTATTCGAATGTGTTTGCTTTTGGGTGTTTAGGCTAAGAGCATTGGTTTAAGGATTCTCTCGAATTATGGGATAAGGGGATTTTTGAGGCTAATTGTGGCTAATTCAGGATGATTGTTGATGATAATTGATGGTTATTGTTGGTGATTGGTTTTTGATGAATGTTGATGATTTAAAATCGAGGAAAATGACCTCTATTTATAAGGAAAAAAAAGAGTCTGGACGATCAGAAAAGACCAGAAATTCTAAACAAAATAGAACAACTATTGACGCGACGCGACAGGATTGTCGCGCCGTGTCAGGACTGCCGCTGTGCGATGGTTCTGACGTTGTGCGTTGGTTCTAGAAGATAGCAAAGTCATACGAAGTTTGATTTCTAATGTAATTATGTCTACATAAGATATCCGAACGTCTTTGTATTTGAATGGAACAAGGATTGTCGTATGAGAAATTTTATTCAATCTCGAACTTCTTTGATCTTTATCTTTTCGGAAAGAATAGATTAGAACCTTCTAGAGGATTCTAGAGGATCCTAACTAATTTAGGATTGGGAATATGATCATATAGGGCCTAAATAAAATATTTGGATTCCATATAATCATTGGGTCATAGCTAAGGTGGACCTAGGCTCGATTTAGTATTTTGGCCATATCTCACTCGTTTTAAGTCGGATTTGGGCTTATAATATATCGTTGGAAAGCTCTTTTCGAGCCCCATCCAAGTAAACAATAATTGGACTGAGAACATGGACCAAAATAATCAGGTTTGGACGTTTTTATAAATTGGGCACGAAATGAATGATTTTGAAGGATACGAAATGGATGATTTTGGGTTTAAGGACACAAAATGAATGATTTGAGTTAAAAACACTTTAGTTAAGGTTAGAAATATGGTAGAAACTTCACGTGACTCTTCGACTCTTTACCGAACTCGTCAAGTACGTGAAAGGTACTCATCACTGGGTTTGGTTTTTGGGGAGACACAATCAGGTGTCTACAAGTAGTATGAAAAATTATTAGAAGAATATACTTATGAAACTAATTATATTATAAGAGTGTGATACTGTGAAGATATTGTGTGTGCATGGTGCATCTATAGAAAAAATATTGTGATATTAAAATAATGTATGTGTCCCATCTAATAGTAATGATTCATCAAATAAAAAAATCTAACAGTAATGATATTATAAATTTTTTTAGAAAGTGTAATTATATACACATGTATATTAAAGAATCAATTTATTATAATTTCGAATCAAATATATTCATTGTTATATAATGTTTCCTATTGTGATATTTACATGTTTAAAATTTTTTAATCAAAATATATTAAAATTATATACTTGATATATATTATTAAAAAATTTATAGTGAAATATTTTATATAAGGAATGAGAGAGTTTAATTTTAAAAAAAAGAGAGAGAGAGAGAGAGAGAAAAAGGGATTTGGGAGGGAAAATGACAGCTCCAGGAAGTGACATGTGTCATTCTTGGTGTCTGTTTTAGTATTATGTTATTGATTAAATTTGAACAATATCTTACATTAAGTCATTAATTCGAATGTTTATACTCTTATATATATTTTTCAAATCACACATGAAAAAATTCAAGTGTATTACAATACTGATTTTGTAAATTAGTGTTACAATGATAAAGGAGTACTTTATATCTTTAGTACTTCTTATTTATTAGTTGGAACAACCATTAAAATAGCCAATCTAACAAACTCAAATGAAATAAAGCTCCACATAAACGAGCCTTGTGATACTCAAGGTTGTTGACAATGGCCGTCAAAAACACCGCCTAAACATTTGCTTTTTCCACAACAGGGGTTGTAATCGTTGCATAATCCCCCAACAGGCGTGCAACGTTGCTTGGGGTCTACAAACAAAGTTTTACAAAGCATATTACATTAGGAGTAAACGTGTCAAAATCTGACTCGACTCAAAACAATTTGATCTGAACCAAATTATCACAATTTTATTATTATATGAAAATAATGACATAGTTTGCCACTTACCTTCTACACATTTGTGACCAGCACCTTTGCTGCATCTATATCCCGGACAACAATTATTAAAAAATAAGAAAGATGAACATTTTTCTTCGGTAATACCACAACTTTCAGATTTATCAACCATGATTTGCACTGCAAAAGTTTCACATATAGCATCAATCTGTAGGGTTAATAATCTTACAATCTATTTGGTATACGTATGCAATAATAAATCAAGGTAAGGAACACGAATTTGTGTTCTAAATTTATAAGAGATTTAATTCAGACACTAAGGTCCATGGTACGTAATGCCAATTGACATTAATTTATGATAAAAAACCACATTTATTACAATGCTACTTTATTTCTTGTCAAATTACACTCAAATTCATTCTCATTACCGCCATCAATTATCAACTACTGTATCAATAGACCATTAGTACTTAGATGAAAAAGTTCATCTAATAATGATCGAAACACCCACAAAAAATATAATGGACTTATTAATTGCACCATATGTGATTACAAAGAAATTACTTACGTAGAGCCAGGATGAAAAAAATGGCTACTACATTCTTCTTGGATTTGTAGAAAACCATTTTCCCCTCCATTTCGAGTGATAGATTTGGAAGACTATTAGGAAATAAATTTATTAATGAATTAAATCATTTAGAAATGTTTGTCTTATATAAGGGATTCTCCGCCTATTTATATACAATTTTAACTAGTTTAATTTGATATCATTCCCCTATGTACCTATATAATTAGTACTACAACCTAGCAACCAACATTGGTGGTAGATGTTATTTAAATTTCGATTTTTTAATTCATCCATCCATCAAAATACAAGCATCAATGCATATGTTATATTAAGCATTTTAATTAGTGGCTTCTTGGAATTTGCCACTAATTAAAAGTCCTTGTATATCACTTGCAGAAGATTTTTTTAAAAAGCGCACCTAATTCACCAAACTTAACACCAGCTACATCCGAATCAATTTCAAGTCGCATATCTAGCTTATGATGGGGTGGTCTGGGTTAATATCACTTGCAAGTTGCAACTATAGTTAGTATACTATTTAGCTTTTAAATTCGTAGTTTTTTGAATTTTTTTTAATAACCATCCTATTCATTCTCTTATGTTCATACATCAAATTATTATTCATCTAAAATAACAAGTTTTTAAGCCTAAATTATTCCTCAAGTTATCATATACTCATATATATACACTACACGAATAGAGAAAATTGGCAAAGGTTCAAACCCCCCCAAAGGCAACGGTTTTGAACCGTTGCGTATTAGAGGGTTGCCAAATCCCAAAATAACTGGCAACGGTTCAAAACCGTTGCCAACTCAAGCAATTGGCAACGGTTAAGCGTTGCCAACTCAACAAATTGGCAGCGGTTAACCGTTGCCAATTGCTATGGCGCCTTTTTTTTTAATTAAATTTAATGCAGTTGGCACCATTGACTTTTTTTTTTTTTTTTTTTTTTTTAACACTTCAAAATCAGCATAACACATACACCATAATCGTTATTCTCAAAAAAAAAAAAAACACCAAAATCGTATCATCATTCAGCAATAATCACTAATGAACAACAATGAACACCATAATATACATGAATATATTATATTAAATAAATTGTTATTTTACAATTTATAAAAAAATTATATAAATAAAAACGTAACAATGAACAACAAAACACCAAATCCTTGGATCTTGAATCCTTCGTCTATGAGCAATTGCTGTAGTTGTAATACTACCTGCATCAATTAAATTAAAACCCCAAAAATCAGAAAAAATTTAAAACCTAATAAACCCAGAAAAAACCAATAATCTAAAACCTAATAAACCCAGAAAAAACTAACAAAAAAACTAGAAACAAAAAACCCAGAAACCCAGAAATTTAAACAAAAAAAACTAAAAAAATTCTAACCAATCAAATTCGAAACCCAGAAAACAATCCGAACCCAAAAACCCAGAAAAAACCAAAGGAATTCGAACCCAAAAATTCGGAAAAAATCCGAACCTAGAAACCCAGAATTTTAAACAAAAAAAACCAAAAAAATTCGAACCAAATTCGAAACCCAGAAAACAATCCAAACCCAAAAACCCAGAAAAAACCAAAGGAATTCGAACCCAAAAATTCGAAAAAAAATCCGAACCCAGAAATTTAAACCCAAAAAACCCAAAAAATTCAAGAAACTAAGAAACCGAGAAAAAATCGAGAAAAAACAAAAAAAAAAACCAGGTATTCGAACCTAGAAAAACCCCAAAAAAACGAAAAAATTTTGAACCCAGAAATTAAAACACGAAAAAAAGCAAAAAAAATTCAAGAAAATACCTTGCTTGGTAGCTATAATTGAAGAAGAACGAAGGATTTGAGAGTTTAGAGAGATCTGAGGTGCATGCGGATGAGAGATGAGAGAGAACGAAGGAGCTGAGGGAAAGATCAGAAAATAAAAGGAGAGAGGGTTGATGAGAGAGAATGAATTTGAGAGAGAGATAGAGGGGCTGAGGGAAGGAGAAGCCCGGATTTTTTTTTTATAAAATCCTTTTAATTTTTTTTTTTTAAAAATAATCAGTTGGCAACGGTTAACCGTTGCCAACTCTAACCCTTTTATTTATTTATTTTTTTAAAAAAAAAATTATCAATTGACAACGGTTAACCGTTGCCAACTCTTACCTATTTTTTTTTTTAAAAAATAAACAGTTGGCAACGGTTAACCGTTGCCAACTTTAAAATTTTAATTGGCGCTCATTTTAGTTGGCAACGGTTTTCATGAACCGCTGCCATAGGGGGGTGCCTATTTAGTTTTTTCTACTAGTGATAGTACTAATAATGACTATTGCATTGTGACCTTTATATGTTAATTCTTCACTACTAGAGTTTTGTAAGTTCTTTTGCAAAATTTTAATTTAATTTATAACTTGATTTACTCATCAACAACAACATTATTTAATCTATATTTGAAGGATTTGACAAGTGGATAATTCATTACTACTTTTTATCTTCCATTTCGCTATAAATGTTACACTTTCCATAAACAAGTATGTCACGATACATGCTATGATAAGTGTGTATGGTATACTCTTTTTCTAGTCCAAGATTCGCCACTGCTTGGCATCATCATTCATCAAGTTTTTCAAGTCCCTTAGAGCCAAAGAGCAGAAAAGAGATGAGTGATTACATTCATTGGATAATACTTAAGCAATAATCACTTAATTAGAGTGTCCTAAATCAAGGCCGACCCGCGAGGAGCACAATATTTCAGTTCAAAATATTATGTTTTCTAGCTAGTTGGTTAGCAATAACAAATTGTTGATTGATTATTCCTCTCCAAATAAAAATATCCGATTATCAAATTTCCGTATGATAGATTATTACGTACGGAGCGAGTTTTTTTTTTTTTTTTTTTGGTGATTAGAGAGCCACAATGGCGAGTGATGAGAATCGATCCCTACATCTCTTGGAACCGGAACGGAAGCTCTAACCACTTGAGTTTCCCTCAATCTATAGATTACTTGATGTAATCCTGTGCGATTTGTATTAAACGATATATAATAATTTAGTGGAATAGTATATTTGTATAAAAAATAACAATAGGAGTTAAACTAAGAAAATCATTTCCTGTGGAGTGTGTGTGAGGGCTCATTCGCAGTTATGGGAGAGTTATATAGGCGTTATATTAAAGACTATAAATGTAATACCCCGTATTTTTGAAACGTATTTTCTAATTAATTAATGGTTAATTTGTAAATAACCACCCAAAAATGTACCTGTTTTAAAAATAACCACCCATTTAATTTTTATTTTTATTTAACCACTCCTTCAATTAAATAAGCACACGGATTACCACCCATTTCTAAATTCCGGTGGAAATTCCGTCAGTGGGCCCCACTTTTTTTTTTTTTTTTTCCTTTTTTTTCTTCTGTTCTCTAGATTTCCCACTCTCTCACCCCGATTTTTTCACTCTCCTTCTTCCACTTTCTTCCTACCTTCTTCCTTTCTTCTTCCACCTTCGTCAACCTTCAAGTTCAATACCTTAATTCCCCATCAATGGCGACCAGATCCTCCACCACTCGTCAATTACAGAGAACAACCATAACCAGCAGCAATGGCCAACATGCTCATGGCCTCCTCCGCCAAATCCCTCCCAACAACCACCGCAGCAACCACCTCTAAACCCAAATTCTCTCTCCTCAAAACCCCCCTTCTAAAGCAACAACAAAAACTCAATTTCTCTCTCCTCAAATCCGCCGCCATTTTTGCCGCCCCAATTCTTCTTCCTCATGTTCGCTCTCGACAAGATCTATTACACCCCTCTTGGTGATTTCATGGATAAACGTGATGCCTCCATTAAAGAGCAACTTGCTAATGTTAAGGATACTTCTTCTGAGGTTAAGCAGCTTGAAGAACAAGCTAATGCTGTCATGCGTGCTGCACTTGCTGATATTTCTGCTGCCTTGAATAAGATGAAGAAGGAGACGCAGGTTGAAGTTGAGACCAAGTTGGCTGAAGGAAGGAAGAAGATTGAGGTTGAACTTCAGGAAGCTTTGGCTAGTTTGGAGAAGCAGAAGATTAAGGTTGAACTCCCATCACCACCTGCCAATTCAATTGAATTGGGGATTTTCTTCAATTGAATTGGGGGTTTTCTTAATATAGGAACCCTAATTTAAGAAAAAACCCAATTCAATTGAAGTATGAACCCTAAATCGACCCTTATTCTTTCGTTGGGGTTTTTGAGGGCGGTGAGATGTGTGTGGAGGGCATTGAAGTTGAAGGCGGTGGTCGGTGGGGCATGTGTTGAGGGTGGTGGGGTAGATTGCAGTGGCTAGTGGTGTATGTTAAGGGCGGTGAGGTTGATTATGGTGGCTGTCTAGTAAATTGGGGTGAGGATTGGGGTGAGGATTGAAGGTGGAAGAAGGTAGGAAGAAGGAGAGTGGAAAAATCGGGGTGAGAGAGTGAGAAATCCAGAGAATAGAAGAAAAAAAAAAGGAAAAAAAAAAAGTGGGGCCCAGTGACGGAATTTTCACCGGAATTTAGAAATGGGTGGTAATCTGTGTGCTTATTTAATTTAAGGGGTGGTTAAATAAAAATAAAAATTAAATGGGTGGTTATTTTTAAAACAGGTATATTTTTGGGTGGTTATTTACAAATTAACCTTAATTAATTAGTATTTTCTAAAAAGGGTATTTTAGTAATTTATTCTACTATTTGAATTTTGGAGCCAAAATGATATTTAAATTTTGACGCCAAAAGTATTTTAAAACTTAATTATTATTTTTGGATTTTTGAATAAGATTTATTATCTATTTATTTTATTATTAAAACCGGATTATTTATGTATTTCGAATATTTTAATTAAACAAAATTATATTTTATTATTTATTTATAAGGGCCGAAAATTCCTAGTTCAATTACTATGATTTTCGGATTTTCTATGTGTAGAAAATCTAATTTTCTTAGTTATTTAATTTAGTGAATAATTGGTATTTTCTTAATTAATTATTTTACACAATAAATATTATTTACACAATTATTTATAAGCCTTAAATCTAGCAAAATATTTCCTAAATACTACAAGGATGTCCGAAATTTTGAAGCTATAGTTGGATGAGCTAACCTATAAATTTTGGAAGC